GGCAGAGTGAGGAACGAAGCCCCTCTTCTGGCCCCGGAAACGCCAGGGGGCATGATGAGCGCGGAGGCAGCCACCACGGAAGGACCGAAGGAATTGCGAGCCCTGTCCGAACCCGAACTGCCTCGAAGGATTGCAACAAAAACCAAGGATTGCAACAAAAACCAAGGATTGCAACAAAAACCAAAGAAGGATTGCAACAAAAACCAGGTTTTTGTTGCAATCCTTCGGTTTTTGTTTTTGGTTTTTGGTTTTTGTTGCTATCTTTTGTTGCAATCCAGCGTCTTGCCCAGCAGATCCAGGCCTCGGCCCGTGCCAACACGCCGCGCAGGACAGGCTCCCGCCTTGAGGACGCCCGCCCGATGTCTAACAGCGACTCCGCGCGAGCCGCTGCCAGGGGCCCCCCACGTTGGCTGTCGACCTGCGGTCTCGGAGTGGCTCGGCGGCGACCCTGGCGACACGCTGTGGACTGCATTGGGTTGATTTCGATCCTATCGTACTCAAGGGCCGCATCCCAGAAATAATTCCGAGCACCCAGAAAACTATCGAAACAATGTCGAACGAGTATCGCCTCCCAGGGCCCAGCACGTGAAAACCCTCAAGTTTCTGTTCTTCCTTGGTGCTCGAAGTTCTTCTGGTGAACAAGGCTAGAGTAGGTTGGAACATCCGAATCAACATTGGGACAACCTTTATATCCATGTCCAGCGCGAATGGGCCTTTCTTGGAAGGGGCGCCGCAAGGCCGAGGCTGGATATGGATAAACATCGAGCCTCTAGGGTCAAGTCGGGCCTGTCCCCCTACAGGGGGATTTTCAACGAAAAATACAACAAAACAAAACAACATATCCCGGCGAAGGGCCCAACCATGTGCAGTTGTGTGTAACGCAGGTGTGGGTATCGGCCTCGGTGAACCTCCCTCTGAGACCACGACGCGTGTGACGGGTGTGCCAAAATTGGCACGGGTACGCTATGCGGACGCTGCCACAGGAGCAGTCGGTGCAGCCCCATCTGAGGCCACGAAACGCGTGAGGGGTGCGCCGAAATGCAGGGTGGAACCACGTGCGGGCGCTGCCACCAGGGCCTTTGGTGGCCGCGAAACGTGGAAGGGGTGCGCCGAAATGGAGGGGGAACTGCATGCGGAACCTGCCACTGGGGCCCTAAGTGGAACACTCCATGGGGCCACGAAACGTGTGAGGGGTGCGCCGACATGGAGGGGGAGCTGCATGCGGACTTGCCACGGGGGCCTTGGGCGGAACACCCTATGGGGTAACGAAACGTGTGAGGGGTGCGCCGAAATGGAGGTGGACCTGCATGTGGACCCTGCCACTGGAGCCTACGGCGGAGCACCGTATGGGGCCACGAAACGTGTGAGAGGTGCGCCGCAATGGAGGTGGAACTGCATGCGGACCTTGCCACTAGGGCCTTCGGTGGAGCACCCTACGGGGCCACGAAACGTTTGAGGGGTGCGCCGAAATGGAGGTGGAACTGCATGCGGGCCCTGCCACTGGGTCATCGGCGGAACACACCCTATGGGGCCACGAAATGCGGAAGGGGTGCACCGAAATGGAGGTGGAACTGCCTGCGGACCCTGCCACTGGAGCCTTCCGCGGAGCACCCTATGGGGCCACGAAACGTGTCAGGCGTGTGCCGAAATGGGGATGGAACTGCATGCGGACCCTGCCACTGGGGCCTTGGGTGGAGCACCCTATGGGGCCACGAAACGTGTGAGAGGTGCGCCGAAATGGAGGTGGAACTGCATGCGGACCCTGCCACTGGGGCCTTTGCTGGAGCTCCCTACGGAGCCACGAAGGTTGTAATGGGTGGGTGAAACGCAGGGAGGAGGGAGGAGAGGGAGGAGGAGGGTGGAGGGGGCAGCGGGGGAGGGGGCAGCGGGAGGTGGGCACGCGGGGCGCTGTCTCTTCAAAACGAGGACCCAACACCACAGGATGGTTGTGAATAAAAAATAATCCAAAAATAGTCAGGGGACTATGTTTGGAGTATTGTTTGACCTTTGGGGGTACTTTTGAGTATTTTTTATGGTCCGTCGAAAATCTCCCTGTAGGGGGACACGCCCGACATAACTCTAGGGTCTTCAGTGCGCCTCGGGCTTCTGGGGAAGGGCGCCCGAAACTCCAAGCTGCAGTGCATACGGACACACGCCTTGCCCGCCCTGCAGGCGGACAGCACGTCCCTCTCGCTTCGCGAGAGGCGGGCGGCACAGAGGGGGGTGTCCAAGAGGGGGGGGTGCAGATCATGACCGGCGGCACGTGCGCGGCCCAGCGGGGGACCAGGGACGTACTGAAACAAGAAGAGGCGCCACGAGATCTGGGGAGATATCATGGCCCCCGCCATGATATCCACCCCCCCTAGTCATCCCCCCTCTCTTTGCCGCCCCCGATTCTGGTGAAGGGAGCCCGAAACTCCAAAAGCTGCAGTGGATACGGACACACGCCTTGCCCGCCCTGCAGGCGGACAGCACGCCGCTCAGATTCGCGAGGCGGGCGGCTGGGACACGCGCGGGACGCTGACGTTCGGGGGCGGGGACGTCGGCACGTGGCCAGCGCGTCGCGTTCCGAGGCGCGGGGGCCAGGCGGCGCGCCACGCGGAGCCCGAAAGCTCCGGACCGCAGCCTTTCGCATGGGCTTCGCGCCAGGGGCTCTCTTTGGAGGCCTGGAAATGGGCACCAACACTAACGCAGGGGGGTGCCTCCACAGGGGGAATACGATCCTAGATTTCGATGTTGGTGGTAATATTCCGGCCACCTTGGAAGCCAGAATATCACCACCATCATCGAGATCGGGATCTTCTTCCCTGAGTGGAGGTACACCGCCGAAATTGGTGTTGGTGTCAACCTCTAGGCCTGCGATCTCTCGCCCGGGGCCCGAACCGCGCCCCGGGAGCACACTTAACCCTGAACTATGTCGGGCGTGTCCCCCTACAGGGCGATGTTCGACGAATAATGAAAAATACCCCAAAAATACCCCAAGAAGGTAAAACATGTTCCAAAAATAATCCCCAGACTATCGTTGGACTATGTTTAATTGTTTTTTGAATACTTTTTAAAACAATTTCGTCGAAAATCCCCCTGTGAGGGGACAGACCCGACTTAAACCTGGAACGGCCGGGCCAGCGCTTCCGCCGCCTCGAAGCGGCGCCTGGCCTGCCGCCGTGGACAAGACGCAGCGTCGCCACACGCAGCGCGCTTGCCAGGATGTCGGCCCGAGTGCAGCCGCAGCGACGAGGGCAGCCCAAGAAGGGGCAACGATTGGAGGCCTGGAAATTGGCACCAACACCAACACAGGGGGTTGCCTCCACAGGGGGAATACGATCCTAGATTTCGATGTTGGTGGTAATAGTTCGGCCACCTTGGAAGCCAGAATATTGCCACCATCACCGAGATCGGGATCTTCTTCCCTCGGTGGATGCACACCGCCGAGATTGGTGTTGGTGTCAATCTCTAGGCCTGCGAAACGAGGAGTGGCACAGTCCAGAATTGGTGGACTACAGCGACGACGAAGGCGATGGCGAACAAGACGAAGACGGCGAAGACGGCGACGGCGAAGACGACGACGACGACCACTGAAGGTGTCTGGAGGCCTCCCAGAGGCCTCCAGCGCCCCCCAGAAATCTTGAGGAGGGCAGATGGCGTGCACCAAATCTTCGGCCACCGCTCCTCTCGGCTGCGCGCCCACTTGGGGAAGGCAGAGGGGGCGGGCCTTCTTAGAAGGCTGAGACAACCTCGGGCCTTCTGATCATTTCTCTGGGGAAACTCTTCATGGGGGGGGATCCCATGGGGGGATAGGATCCCAGGGGGGGGGGGATCCCATAGGATCCCCTGGGGATCCCATGGGGGGCAGGAGGGGATCCCATGGGGGGGATCCCCTCCTGCCCCCCCATGGGATCCCCCCCCATGGAGAGTCTCCCGGTTCTCTATCGTAAGCGCACTTCCCGGCAAGCCGGAAGACTTCTGAGAAGGCCAGTGGTCCCTCGCCTGGCTTTCGGGTTCGAGACCGGCCCTCCGGCGGTCGTTCGGGATGCTGTGGGCACCCACACGGACGCCACCCGGAGAGGCGCAGCCGTCGAAGACGCCCAGGGACCCGCATCCGAACCTCCCGAACACTGGGGGAACCAAAAAGTACCGCTACCGCTACCCGCCAGACCTCTCCTGGGGCGCGTTCTGACCAGGATTTCGAGGCGAATCCAGCGGTGGCGACGAGATCCTTCGAGGGGGCCCAAAAATGGGAAAACGGCCGAAGGGTAGATGTATGGGTAAACCGTTTCCTCCTCCCGAGCACCGTCCCACTGGGCGCGCCGCCGAACCTCGATCGGCAGCCCCCTGGACGGCAGGAAAGGTAGAGAACCGAACTCTATACACCGACGGTTTTTCCGGCCCTGCATTGAAATTTGCACTGGAGAGCGGATCCTGGTGAATACGGGACCCTGGTGTATATATTTTTCGTTGCTTCCCCGGGGCATCGGGGAGCAAAACTATACACCACACCACACCAGCGGCGTCCGCGACCCTCAAAAAGTCCCAGCATTGAAAAACAGCCCGCCACTGGTAATGTATATGTCCCAGTTCCCGAAATTCGGGGACGGACAGACCCCCCTTGAGTAACACGTGGTTTAGTGCACACGACCTGAGGCCCAAACCTGGCGGGCGCGAGCCTGGAACATAACGGCCGCGGCGCCCTCTCGAGAACCGAAAACGGACAATTCACTAATCGACGTGACGTGTCACTTAAAACAGGGCTAAGATCGGGATAAATCGCTCCAGAGCGTTCCGGAGCGCTCTCAGAGCGTTCCGGAACGCTCTGGAGCGGCCGCGGCGCCCAATACATCCTCCAAGCCCGCCGATTCTCAGAGATTTCGAGTCATCCCGATCCGATGTTGTCCCGATCTTCGCGTCGTTTTGTCACTGCTGGGGGCTCTGCCCACCCCCGAGAAACAAGGGCCCTCGGCGGGCTTCGCGGCCCGCGCCCGCGGAGGCAGGGGAGGCGCGACCGGCACGAAGGAGTCGGCGGCGGGCGGCTGCTCCGCGGCGGCCTCCTCCTCGTCCTCCTCGTCCTCGTCGGCCTGCTCCTCCTGCGAGGGCCAGGAGAGCCCAGAATCGAATCGACAAGTCGGATCGGCGATCGAAATGAATCGGATCGGCGAAAATCGGCAGCCGAGTCGGGAAAAGTCGAATCGGCGGAAATCGGCAGCCTAGTCGACCTTCGTTAGGAAATCTGAGCCCAAATCGGAATCCGAAATCGGATCGAATCGGAATCGGAAATCATCGAAATCGAATCGAATCGAATCGGAGGAATCGAAATTGGCCCTGAGGCCGTCGATTTGGACGCCCGAAATGGGCACGGAAAACATTGGCACAATGCCCAACAACAAATGCTGTCCCAAACCAACAGCGGCCGCCGTTGGGCAGGCGGCCTTCCGTCTCGAATTGATACAGAGCGCGGCGGCGTGGACAGCGAGTCCTGCTCAAAACGGACAAGAACTGCTGTTGGGGATTTTACCCATTCTTTCCGTACCCATTTCGGGCGTCCAGAGTCGAGTCGTCGCCGCGCCCGTCGAGGACGAAGCCGGGCACGGGGAGCAAAGCGGGCGAGGGTACGTCGAAACTCTCCGAGTTCCAGCGGCTTTGGGGGGATGCCTCGGGCGCCGCGGCCTCTGAGAGCGTTCCGGGACGCTCTGGAAAGGATGGATCCTCGTCCTAGCCCTGCCCGACCGTCGACCTTGACATCCTCGCGCCGTGAACAAATCACGCTGGATCTGTGTCGACAAGTTGCGTGAAGGGGCCCCCGAAGCCAGGACGCTGCGAATCAGGACTTCGGACCACCTGGATAGAGGGAGTGGTGGAGTGTCTCGACCCAACGGCCGTGGTACTCTCGATGCCCAATGTTCCAAGCAATACTGGTTCGGGAAGGTATTAGAACAATACTGACAGTGACGAATCGACAGACGATTCGATGACAATAATGTATTTTACCTCGGTTTGGAGCCAAAGTGGTAACAGTCCACAGTCCTCTCGTGCACCTGCTGCGCCCTACGCTCGTGCATGCGCAAATGCTCTGCTGACCAGTTCTCGTGCTATAGTACTGCTAGCGGGCTGAAAATCCTGCGAATCTCAAATGTGCAACCTGCTGCGTTCGACACTGGTGGCCTCGGGACCCAGAGAGCGCTGCACAACCTGTATGCTGCCAGACGCTCGGCGGCCGAGCCATAGCGACTCATGTGTCGCTATGGGTCGGGGGAATTCGAAAATCTGCTTCTGTGACCCTAGCGGCCTGAGATTGAGACAGGACGCAGCGGCGCACCTTACAATGCAGAGCTCGGGAGAAATCGGCCCCCTGGCCCCACAGAGTCGGCAGCCAGACGTGTTAGCAGATTCGGGAAACATGTCGGAAATTATTTCCGAAAGGGTTCCGAAAATCGACAATCAGGAAAATGCACCCAGGGCCCACAGCTGCAAGCCACAATGGGAAGTTGACTACCCTGAATGAGAATACAATGACTAGCAAGCTCTAGCAGATGCAAACGCGATTTTACTGTAAGGCTGAATTTGGTGCATGAGTACGGAATGACACAGGTGAAGGATATCATTTACAGAAGTGAGGGGAACACGCTTGGGGTAAGTTTCGCGCCCAGCATCCCCCTAGCCTTCATCCTGTGACCGATCAAGCAAGTCGCACGCGCCGGCGTGCCTGGCCTGCTGCCGCTCCGCTCAAAGGGTAGAGCCAGCGGTACTCCTCGCTGGCCAAGTCCAGCCACGTGCTCTCGTTCGGCGTGTCGGCGAAAACGACCTCCACCCTGCCTGTCGCAGACTGGCTGACGATGTCCGCCTTGACCCACGACGAGCCGCGCATCAGCTCCAGCTGCAAGGACTCGCCCTTGATCGGCACGCCGAGCTCGGCCAGGTCGAAAAGGCGAAGCCGGCTCACGTGCACTGGCTGGCTGAAGCCCAACGTAGTCGAGCCGCTGTCAGGGTCGGCGAGGATCGCCGACTGGGGCCCCGCCATCTTGTGGATCTTGGAAATCTGTGGGCGATCGCGTGGCAAGAGCCTCGTGCTGGTGCCGTCCACGGCGCCGACTGCACGAGCGACCTGCTGAGGAGGAGCGCGAAGAAAGACAACGTCTCCTGCCTGAAATGCCCGCTCGCCTGGCTCCTGCAAAGCCCTGGCGTGCGCCTCCTCGTCGTGCTGCGCCTTGAGCTCGTTCGCCACGGTCTTGTGCGTCGCCTCCAGGTGCTCGACTAAGTCCTTGACGTAGTGCCCGGGGTCCAGCATCTTCCCAGGCTCGAGACGCCTGAAGACCTCTTCGATCGGGCCCTGCGGCAGCATGCCCGTCACGATCTCGAAAGCACTGCGACCCGAACGATATGGCATCGGAGTCGCTCGCAGGCACCACTGGCACAAGGGCACCCAGCGCGCCCAGTTCTCCGGGTGCGCGCTGCAGCAGCTTGCCAGAATCCTGTTCACCTTCTGGTGCCTCGCCTCCACGAAGCCCTGCGACTCCGGATGGTAGGCGGAGCCGAGGCTGTGGGTGACATTCAGGAGCTGGTTGATCTGCGCCACGATCTCGCTGGTGAAAGCCGTACCTCGATCACTGCGAAGTACTGGAGGAAAACCAGCCAAGCCGAACATCACGTCCTCAAGCAGGAACTTGGCCCAGGTAGCCGCAGAATTGTCTGGAGCAGCCTTGAGCCACGCGTAGTGGGAGAACGCGCACTCGGCGTGCAAGATGTAGGAGCAGCCCGCACTCTCAGGCGAGATAGGTCCGAGATCGTCGATGCCCAGAACTCGAAATGGTCGATCGTAAAACTCCATGCGGGCGTCGGCCGTGAGGCCGCGGGCCGGCTTGACCAACCTGCAGACACTGCATGAACTGACCCACTTCTGGACATCGTGCTCCATGCCCGGCCAGAAGAACTGCTTGCTCAACTTGCTCAAGGTGTCCTCGGCGCTGCTGTGCATGCCCATCGACTCGGAGTCGTGGTAGTACAGGAGCAGCTGGCGCCTGAGAGGCAGCCGGTACATGCGACCATTGTACCGAAACGCGCGAAGGCCGCCCTTCGGGACCACCACCTTCGGCGCGAAACTCAATGCGATCGGGTCCCACTCGTCCTTATAGAGCAGTCCCTCACGATAGCTGTAGCCTCCCATCATCCTCAACGCCACCGAAGCACGTCGCGAAGCCTGGCGTCCTCCGACTCCGCGTGCAGCGAGCTCGGTCTTCAAGCCCTTGTACATCTGCTCGTTCTGGATGCTCTGGTTCGTGTCCTCAAACCGCCGTAGGAGTACATGTGCCGCGTAGATGTCGGAGAAGTCCTCGTCCTGCTGCAGGAGGTTGACGACCTGTGCCCTCTGGATCGATGAAGGACTTGACGGGATCAGCTCAGTCAACTCGTCGAAAGCCTTTGGTACTGGCGGGGCAGCCGCTGGCTCCCCTGCAGACACCTCCGTGTCATCAAACCACACCTCCACCACGAGGTCGCGGCGCTTGTCAAGGCCGCGCTGCAGGTACTTGGTAGTAGTGTCATGGTCGATATCTATATCCTCCAAGATCTCGCCAGTCCTGGCGTCCCTGGTGCGACGCTTCTTCATGAGCCGTTTGTCGTCTGGAACGAAGAACTCCTCGGCGCGCTTAATCTCCACTCGAAGATGCGGCGCCTGCTCGCGACCTTCGGGTACTGGGGCTGGTGCTGGAGGGTCCGACGACGCTGGCGTCGCCCGAGCAGCCCCATGTCGCAGCTGAGTGATTCTTCGGATGCCCTCTGCAACGCGCGAGGTAAAGCTCGGCCCTAAAGGGGAAGTGTCCACGCTGACTTTCATGGCGTTCCTGTCCAAGCAGTCGCCGGCCTGCTTCGAGCAGTCGTTGCCCAGCCTGCCAGTGGCTTTCAAGACAGTCGCGAAGCCTGCGACAATCCTCTCGCACAGCGCCCTCGGGTACAGAGCTGAACGTCGCGTCGCTGCGCCGGTCAGCATCACCTGGTGCTTGACGTGGTTGCACAACCTCCCGATGTCCGTCAGCGCGTCGGTGTTCCCTGTGAAGACCTGCGGCTTCTGATAAGGCGCGCCGTCCTGACAGTGATCGCTCCTGGCCACGTGGAAACCGTCGAAGCCCAGAATGCAGGAGCACTCCATCAGGAAGAAAAGGCAACTCATCAGGGGGCTCTCGAACATGACCACCACGCCTCTCTGCATCAACCCCAATGCGAAGATAAAGACAGACTGCGCCAACTGGTTGAAATACACGATCTCCTCGTCGGTCTCGTCGCCGTACGGGTTGTCCAAGCTGAGGGTCTTGACCGGGGTTGTCTTGGCGATGCTGAAGCTCGTGCACGGGATTGCGAAGTGGTAGACGTCGCAAGGGTCGTCCAGGTGGCCCTGCATCCACTGGCGTGTGTGAGGGCCGCGGAAGTCCATCCGCTCGTCAAGCCGCCTGTCGTAGCGCTCCGCAGATCCCCCAGCTGCCTCCCAAACTCTGGATAGCATCGCACCGGCCTCCTTCTCGGACTCCACGCCGCTGAACACCTCGCACAACCTCTTGCCCTTCAGAGGGCGGTCGCGGAGTTCGGCAGGTAGCACCTCACCTCCGCTCCCGAGAATCTCGTGGCCCTTGCACCTGTAGACCTCGGTGCCGTTGGGTAAGCGCCTCACGAACTCGGCGGCGTGGCAGAACTCGTGAGGCGGCCGCAAAGTGTCGCGCAGCGGCCTCCAGACGGTGCGAGTCAGGAAGTCTGGCCTGCGCGGGTGGACGTGGAACTGGAAGCCCTCGAAAGGATCGCCGTGCCGCCGGAAGAAACCCGTCCCGGACAACGGCCCTGAACCGACAGCGGGCTCCACCTCCACGGACTCGGTGGGACGCGCAAGCACAGCCTCGACATGAGCCCATGCTTGGTTCTCTGCCTTCTTCCGCCCAGCAAGCGCCTCTTCGGAGCCGTCGGCGACCCCGTTCGGCTTGCACCTGTGCCAGATGGTCTTCCTGCACACTCCGTCATTGCAGACCTGCGGCGCCCGGTACTGGACGGTGAAATTCTCGCCGCGCTCGTCCTTGACATAGGTGATGCGGCAAGGTAGAACTCG